TATATATATATATATATATATATATATATATATATATATATATGGGTACAGATAGTCGTAATCGGCGTTGCTATTTATTACAACCTATTTCGGCCTATTTTAGTTCATTGTAGCTACATTTATTTTGTTCTGGCCCACATATCTGGTCGAGTAGCGTCCACGCCCGCCGGCTACGGCCCTGGCACGATGACGGCGCTGCGTGGCGGGCAGTCGTGAGGTAGTTTCGCACCTGATATCCAGGCTAACGAGATACTGGCGGGCTCCGAGGTACCCGGATGTCCCCTGGGCGGGTCGCGTGACGTCACGTCGACGAGACGAGCGGGTGCATAATAATCATGATATATTTTAGAATGTTCTGGGCCCTCGCTCAAACAACACATGCTCATATTAACATAGTTATACGATATTATACATGTTATATGATATTATTAGTAAATTCCATAGGAACGAAAAACGGAATATACAGGAATTCCTATCCTCGGTTTGGGTTACATTCCGTTACATTATTGTATCTACTACTGCTGCTGCTACTGCTGCTGCTACTGCTGTTGCTGCTGCTGCTGCTATTGCTGCTGCTACTACTACTGCTGCTGCTACTGCTGCTGCTGCTGCTGCTGCTATTGCTGCTGCTACTACTACTGCTGCTGCTACTACTACTGCTGCTGCTGCTACTACTATTGCTGCTGCTACTACTACTGCTGCTGCTACTACTACTGCTGCTGCTGCTACTGCTACTACCACTACTACTACTATTATTACTGCTTTTTTCTCGACCTCATGAAATCGAAGCCGAACAGCTCGAAATCGATAGCATAGATCTGTTCGATCACACGCAGCAGAGCATCCGGCACGCTCGCGTACATGTTGGCAACCAGCTGCGACGTACGCGGCCGCGAGTAGTTCGTTCCGGAGCGCGTCGGATATTCGACGACTCCCGCCAGTCCGGATTCCTCCAGAACGATCTGCGCCTCCGCCTCGATGTTCGCGTAGTCGCCGATGAAGTCGTAGTCGACGGAGCACGGGTTGCAGAGGTCCATGTAGCGCGCCCAGTGTCGGTTGTGGCCGGAGTGACGGTAGATGGCGCGGATCTCCGGGTCGTCGTGGAAGGACGTCGGCCGCGACAGATATGTCAGGAATTCGACGAAGGTCACGTTCCGGCCCGACACGAGCGCCGCCCTGGTGGCGTTATGTCGGTACCGCCGGATGATCGTCTTCCCGTAGGTTTTCTGGAAGTACGGATTCGGTTGCCCGAATTTGTCCATGTAGGCCGATAGGAGGCGCTCGTACGGGTCGCGAATGAACATGAACTTGTAGTAGTGCTTGAGCCGGCGGCGCCGCGCTGCGGAGCCGAGCTTCGACAGAGTGGTCACGTTCGATCTCTTGTGCGCGAGCTCCTTATCGATAGACGCCGGATCGACGGCCGCGTTCGATCGCAGCGCCAGTAGAACTCTTTTCCAATTGGTCGAGCCGATCTTCGGGATGCTGCAGTAGAGCAGACGAAGTTCGTCGTTGACGTAGACGTTGTTGACGTAGCGTAGCAACACGTCGGCGTCGCGTAGAGCGCCGCCGGCGTCGACGACGCCGTTACCGTATTTATCACAGACGCGCCGCACTCGTCGCTTTCTTTCCTTCACCGCCTGCAGCGTCGCCTCGCGAGAGATGGCGCCACCTAGCGGATTCGTCTGCAATGGACATTGGCGATGTGGGGTAGAGCCATTGTTAGGTTGTGACGTTCCATCGTTACGCCGCGCTCTCTCTAACCTTCCTCTCTTTGTGGTTTACTCATCTCTTCCCACTTTTCTATATATTTCATATGTGCGTACATGCCGGCTGACGTCACAACCCGCCGCCATCAGAACTCCCCGTGTGACGTCATTCGCGTGTCTGTACGTGATATGCTTATATTTACGGGTTTATTTGCCTTTCTTAGACACACCGAGTAGCTAACACTGAGTCTGACAAAGCGAGCTGCGTGATTTTTTTGCATAGGTTAGGAGGTCACGGCAGACATCACGGGCGCGGTACGGTGAATGCTATGGTTCGATGGCCCCTTGATTATATATGGGTCGCGTCTCAAACCCGTGTTCGCTTTTGGGCTAGTTTCGTTCGATTCTCTTAATGGTACTTTCAGTCATCATCATCATTATCACCATCATCATCGTCGTCATCATCATCATCGCCGTCGTCATCACCGTGATCCGCGGCGGTAAAGAGCTGAGTGAGTTTGTTGTTAACCCGGGGATTTAGCTGACGCGTATGGCGCTGATCCTTACTGGCGGTTAACGACGCTTGAGATCTCATCATGATCATGATCACCATGATCACCACCATCATCATCATCATCATCATCATCATCATCATCATCATCACTATCATCATCACCATTATCATCACCATCATCAATAATAACAACATCATCATAACAATCATCATCGTCATCATTCAAAACTTAAGCAACGAAACAATTCTGCAATCAAATAATACAATATATATAAAACCAACAAATATTACTATTTGCCATATAAATGGATATAATGGATGTGTGTGTAAGAGAGAGAGAGAGAGAGAGAGAGAGAGAGAGAGAGAGAGAGAGAGAG